AGGTGGGGTGAAGCCTCTCAGTCCTGGCCTCCTGTCTTCCACCCCTTGCTCACAGCCTCCTGGGAAATGAAGAGGGGCCGGAGGCCTATGAGTTGCAGATGTGCGTGAAGGATTACTGCTTTGCCCGGGAGGACCGTGTGCTGGGCCTAGCTGTGATGCCTCTGAGGGATGTGGCAGCCAAGGGCAGCTGTGCCTGCTGGTGCCCCTTGGGCCGGAAGATCCACATGGATGAGACAGGCATGACCATTCTCCGGATCCTGTCTCAGAGGAGCAATGACGAGGTGGCCCGCGAGTTTGTAAAGCTCAAATCGGAGTCTCGTTCCACAGAGGAGGGGAGCTGAGCACTGCTGTCCCCTGTGCCGACAGCAGCACTACTTCCACAGAGCAGGGCCGACGGGAGGCGCTGTACAGCCGGGCGTCAGGAGGCTGCCTCCTTCGGTGAGGGGTACTTGAAAAATGTGGGGTGACGAGGGCCTGGCTCTCCACAGAAAGGCTGTGAACCCCTGACCAGCAGGCCCGGGGTGTAGGAGCTGGGCTGTGGGGTCACCGCACAGGGAGATTTCCAGAAGGGGAGTAGGACACGTGTTCCTGAGAGTGTCAGTCCTTGTAGCCACCCCTCCGCTCTCCAGCCCACCTCTGACCCACTCCCCACCACACCTTGTCCACTTAGACATACATATGCCAATCATTAGAAGAACAAGTTTAGAAGTCCTGGAGCTTGGACCTGGCTGGGTAGGTAGTCAGTGGAGCCTACGGGTATCGCTTGAGCCCTGTAGTCTGGGTTGGGGTGTAACCAGGGCCAGGAGCCCATGCAATAGAATTCAGGCAGTTTCTTGAGCAGAATCCCTGGTTTTGTGGCTCCAATGCAAACAAGGCTTTGAAACTGAACAAGACGCCTTCCAGAGCTGAGCTGTGCTAACCCACATCCCAGATTAGACCTGTCATGACTGGAACCAGGTTCACGTGGTGCTTCACAGACCTGAGCAGACTACTGGTTGGAACCCAAGCACAAGGGGCCGCCACCTGCCCAGGAGTCCCCCTGCCGCACTCTGTAGGGCAGGGGGGGGTGATGCTTTCGGACATGCGGGGCGTTTTTCATGTGCATGGACCCGAGGGCTCGCTGAAGGAGCCAGGAAGGGGACGTATTTCTTTTTAGACAGGCCCTGAACAAAGCCAAAAGCTGTGGGAAACAGTCTAGTGTTCCCCTCACCTGTGGCCTCTGCCTTCTGGCTGTCCTCTGCCTCACAGGAGAATCTCGCCTTCGGACTCCTTTCACCTGGGTGAGCTTCTGGGCCCCTCATGGTGTTCAGCGCACAGGAGCTTAGAGCCTGGCCCCCGTGTGCAGGCCAGATGGAGGGGCTTCGGCATTCCCTGGGCGGCCAGAGACTTTCAGGGGTCACATGGGCTCCCGAGGCCTTTGCTCCAAGGGGTGACGGCTTTGGATTTCCTCAGTGCCGCCTCCTGGGCTTCCGGAGGAAGTCGGCAATGTCACAGCTGTCCTGGCCATTACATCAAACAAGAAACCAAGCATCTTTGCTGTTGTTAATCATCGTATGTGCCATTGTTACATGAGATTATAGGCTAGTCTGGAATAAATTCTCTTACAGCAGCCTCTGGGGTTTGGTAATTGCATGACTGTGGAAAGTCACAGGGTTGACTGTCGTGTGTGACGGGAGACACCAGACCAGTGGGTCCTTTGCTTCACCTTCCTGTCCCTAACGGCTCTGGAGGGGCACCGAGCAGGACAGCAGCCACTGGGCCAGCGCCTTGGCCTTTACCTGAGGCCACCAGTGCGGTTAACAGAGCAGTGGGGCACTGGCCATTAGCCCCCTGCAGACTCCAGAGCAGGACCTGACACAGGCCAGTGGGCGCCAACACACACGGTGACACGGGCCAGTGGGCACCAACACACACACGGTGACACGGGCCAGTGGGTGCCAGCACACACAGTGACATACGCCAGTGGGCACCAACACACACACGGCGACGCGTGCCAGGGGGCGCCAGCGCACACGGTCACTCTCTCTGTGTGGAATCACTGGGGAGAGCACACATGGCCTGGGCTGGGAGGACAGGGCAGGGCTTGCTGGGCAGAGACACACCTCAGAGCATGGGGGCACAGAGGACTGGTCCCAGGGACGCACACTGGTCACTTGCTTCAAGTTCTGTTCAAGGAAGAAGAGCTGGAGTGCAGAGTCTGCTCTCAAAGAGGATGGACGGTAACAGGCTTCCCCACCACAGGGTCGCAAGAGCCAAAAGCCTCAAGACAACCTCACCTGCTCCCTCAGCATGACGTCATGGCCAGCGGGCGCAGGGCCACTTGCTAACCAGTCGCTTGCTAAATCCCTCCGGTGCAGTTACCCAGCCTTTTAAAAACTCCCTCCTCCCCTCTCTTCTGCCAGCCACGCACCTCCTGTCATTTTTACCTCGAAAGCGCCTCTTGAACCCCTTGCTTTCCCTGAGCTCCCATTCCCAGCACCCCAGTGGCATGAATGGTGGCTTTTGGTTCCCCTCACCTGGCCTACCTCAGAGTGCTCTCCACTCCTGTGAAACCTGGTCAGTGAGCCCCTGTCCCCCGACTGCCACTCTGAGGCCCTCCCAGGTCAGTGCAGCGCAGCCACCTGGTCCCCACCAGCCAGCAGCTGCTCTCAAGTGCCGGCCTCGCAGTTCCCCATCACGGCGTGGACTCCATGGCAGTGGGTGTGGTTTGGGCTTTGCTTCTGTGAAGACTGACAGCCTTGGAAACTCTCTGGGGTAGTTCCCCTCTGTCCTGTAAGGGGGCTGCCAGTCAGAATCGGCTGCAGTGGCTTTGGAAGGCCCCGGGACCCAGCCAACCCTGGCCCCTCCCCACAGCACACTACGCCAGAAAAACCAAACTCACTGCATTGGAGTGGATTCTGACTCATAGTAACCCCTCCTTGGGTTTCCAAGGTGGCACTAGCCACTCCTCGGAAGGAAGGCTGGGCAATTTACTTCTGCTTCGAAAACCCAAGGAGGGGTCGCATGAGTTGGTCCCACTCAATGGCAAGTAACAACAACATTTCTACAGGAAAGTAGATTGCTCAGTCTTCCTTCCAAGGAGTGGCTGGTGGGTTTGATCCTCCAGCCTTGCGGTTAGCAGTCAAATGCCTTAGGTAGTATGCCACCAGAGCTCCCGGACCGCACACTAGAGCAGGAGGAGCTCACTGCTGTGGAGTGGGACCCGACTCGTAGCGACCCCTCCTTGGGTTTCTGAGGCGGTGTTACTACAGAAGTAGATTGCCCAATCTTCCTTCTGAGGAGTGGCTGGTGGGTTTGAACCGCCAGCCTTCTGGTTAGGTAGCAGTGTAATGCCTCAGGCACTACGCCACCAGAGCTCCCAACAGCACACTAGGTGGTTATAATTTACTTGTCTTTCTCCCCTCATCACCCTGTGATCTCCCCACAGGCAGGGGTTGAGTAGGTGGTCTCTGCTCTCCAAGCTGCCAGCACAGAGAGCGCCCGGGCACTGCAAACACAGGCAGCCCATCGGCTGCAGGCTTCCGCCTTCAGAAACACGCGTGCGGTGGGCTCACGGGAAGGGGTGTGGCCAGAGACGGGCCTGTGGGCGAGGGGCGTGGTCAGAGGCTGGTCTGCAGGTGAGAGCTGTGGTCAGAGGCGGGCGAGGGGGCGTGGTCAGGGAGGCTCGTGAAGGAAGGGGCAAGTCGGCGCCTGCGCAGAAAGGTACGTTAAGATGGAGGTCGCCGAAGGCAACGGCTCAGCGTCGACGGTGAGCAAGTGGGACCGAAAGGGGGCGCCCAAGGAGAATTGATCACTTCCCGCCCAGCGTTGATTGAAAACAGCCCTTACTGTTAATACTCCTAAACTTAGTCCTGTTCCCTGACTTCCCCGTGGCTGTCAGGCCCATAGTTGTTTATGAACTGGTTTCCCAGTACCCCCGAGGCTGTCGCCCCTTCCCCGTGAGCGTACAGGTGTCCGGGACCCTGGCGTAGAAGCTGTGCCAGGTACTTTATCCCCCCAAATCTCGCAAAGGGCACGCGTTTACTTAGCTACCTTAGGAAGCAGATAGCCCGAGTTCCCGGGTGAGACGCTAGCCTGTCAGCTCAGGGAGTTCCTCCACTTTCCCAGCACTATCCAGATTCTCTGAGAAGCCAACAACTTTTCTCGTATTTGACTTGAAAGTGGCACTTCTGCTCTTCCCTCAGGCAGGAGACCAACTCCGCTTACTAAAGTCCGTCTCTGCTGGGTACCCAGGTTATGGACCTGCACTTTTGAATTTAGTTAACTTTTTAAAACCAAATTTCAAATGTCTTGAAAATGCAGATTTCAACTTTATTAATTTTTTTTTTTTTTTTAATTAGAACCTCTGTTAACTCCTAGTTTGCATCTTCACAAAGCAGCTGGCGGTGGGAGCTGAGAAGCAATGGTTAAGTTAGTCCACTGTAGGTCATTACAGATCCCACTACTCTCGTTCTGCACTGGACTTCGTATTACTGCTTGGTCTCTGGTAGGCATTTGGGTTTATGTTCCCGGAGATAGGACTTTTGGAGATTTTCTTATCCGATTCGGTTGGGCAATCTACTTGCATAGTGATACCGCCTCGGACCCAAGGAGGGGTCCCTATGAGTGGGGTCCGACTTGATAGCACATAATGACAACATGAGCTCCTAATTGAAACAGAAATCAATGAGGTTGGATATTCAAAATATACTATATAGTTGGTTCAGAATTAAACCCAGCCATCTGTGAACAACTGATTTTCAACAAGTGGTCAAAGTCCATTCAGTGGAGTAGGAACAGTCACTTTAATAAGTGGTGCCAGGAGAAAAATGAAATGGGACCCCTCCCTCACACCAGACACAAAAACTAACTCCAAACGTATCAAAGACCTAAATGTTAAACCTAAAACCATAAAATTCCTGGGAGAAAACTATGTGACATAATATTTTGTAAAAATAGGATAACAAACATAGCAAACGCATCAATAGAGGGCAAAATAGATCAGTGTAACCTCATACAAATTAAAACTTGTGCTCATCAAGAGACTTTATTGAAAGAGTTTATTAAAACCTACAGACTGGGAAAAAGTCTTCAGACATGACTTACCGAATAAGGGTCTAATCTCTCAAATCTAAAGAAAACTGCAACACCTCAACAACAAAAAGACAGACAACCCAAATCACAAAATGACAAAGCACATGAGGAGAGCCTTCCCCCCAGAGGACACCCAGGCAACCAACAAACAGGGAAAGGTGTTCACAGTCATCAGCCCTTAGAGAGATGCAAAGCACAACTACAGTGATATATCATCTTACCCCGGCTGAAATGACACTGATAATAATAGATAACAATAAATGTTGGTGAGGATACAGAGAGGTTGGAATCCTTCTCCATTTCTGGTGAGACTGTAAAATGGTACAAGTGCTAAGGAAAACAGTGTGGCACATTCTCACAAAACTAGAACTAGAGCTACCCTATGATCCAGCAACCCTACTCCTAAGTGTATAAATCCTAGAGAGCTGAAAATAAAACACAAACAGATGGATGCACACCTATGTGCATTTCTACTTTATTCATAGTAGCAAATAAATGGAAACAACCAAAGTGCCCATCAGCAGACTACTACAAAACCATAAAGAACAGTGATGATGTGCAAAACAGCATGGATGGACCTGGAAGGCATAATGCTAAGTGAAATAAGTCAGACATATATGGTATTGTATGATATTGTATGATCCCTCTTTCATAAGAAGACAAGAATGGATACATAGAGAAAGACCAAGGTTCATTGGTGGTTACCAAGAAGAGAGGGCAGAGGAAAGTATACTTTAGATTGTGGAGACTTGTGATTTTAATTTTGATTTATTTTTGGTGATGAGAAAAATGGCACTGAATGTGGATGTAGTGAACATAGCACAACAAAAGTAAAAATGCGTGTTTGTGCACACATGGGTGGGTATAGGCAAATTGGTACACAGGTAGGTACAGGTGTGTAACATAGGTGAGAACAGATAGACATATCTATAGGTCTGTGTAAATACAAATACATGGATGCGGCATGTAGATTCATTAAAGACATAACCAAACACTTTCCAGGATTGGTTTTCTGAGTTTGAACATTTAGGACCATAGTCTCATGGGACAACTCTGTTAATTGGCATAACATAGTTTACAAAATCATGATGTGCATCCTAGTGAAGTGAGTAGTGTCTAGGGTCTTAAAAGCTTGCAAGAGGCCATCTAAGACACAGCTGTGGGTCTCTATTCCCCAGGACAAAGCTGTAGAAAGACAACCAAAAGCTCAGAGAAGAAACAAGTCTACATGAGCCACAACCTCATCTCCCCTGAGACCAGAAGAACTCGATGGTGCCCAGGTGGCTACCACCACTGACTGCTCTGACTGGAGTCACAATAGATGGTTTGGATAGAATGAGAAAAATGTGGAGCAGAGCTCAAATTCATATTTAAGAGAAAAAAGCCACACAAACTGGAACAGTAGAGAACATCATTGAGACTGTTGTAAAACTGACTCCAAGAGTATGTTAAAGATACTGTTTAAACCTGCAACCAAGCCTGTCCCGTGAAACCACCATTTAGGAAATAGAGTGGCACACAAAATAAAGGCTATTGCCCATAAGATCAGTGCTCGGAGGGAAAGCTCAGTGTGAGACTGAAAGGTCAACAGTTCCTCAAAGGCAAAGATGAAAAGGGAGCAGGGAAACTAGAGTACTGGGAATGGAACAAACAGAAAGCAAAGAGAACCATGACTCCCTGTGATCAGGGTACCGAATGGCACTGAACAGTCCGTGTGGAAATTCTCACACTTCTTGCTGTGTCAGCTTTCAACAAGGAAAAAAAAAAAGTTGGATAGATACTTAGTTTGGCTTTGACCCCCTAAAAGCTCTGAATAGGGTCACATATGAGAGAGGTCAGCCTAGTAAGTAGAACTCAGGGTGGAATCTGTGCATATCAAAGTGGTTTTGGTAAGAAAATTCAAGCAAAAAACGTAAGTGGCTTGTGGTGCTTTTGGTCGTACGAGGCTGGGCCAAGGACAGAGTGCTAGTTGTTTCTCTTAGAAACACCTGGTTATGAGAGGCCCTATGAGTCGAATTGACTTGACAGCAATGGGTTTGGTTTTGCTTTTTTTTTTTTTTAAATAAAAGAAAGTGATTTCTCTGAAGTTCTATTTCCCTTGTGCCAGAACACACAGGTGGACACACAGGTGGTCACCTTCCCTTCTGAGGGAAGTAACAGGCCTCATATTATCAAGAGTAAGGCCAGGTCTGCAGATTGTACCAAATGACCAGTGCAAATTCTATTTTCTGTCTCCAAGAGAAGTGCCTTTAAATAATGAGTTTTAATGAAACAAAATCTTTCAGCTTAAGTATGTGACCCATGTATTTGTTTGAATATTCCAACCAGCTCCCTGAATCATCCTCCTAAACCCAGAAACGTAAAGGCAAGGCTGAAGAAGCATAGTGAGGCAGTGGAGTCAGAAGACAGGAATTCTGGCTTCAGCTCCGCTGAGTAACAAGTCAGGGAACCCTGGACCTTTAACCTTTCACTTCCCAGAGACTCAGTTTCCTGCATCTGTTGAACAGGACGAATAATCCCTGCCGTGTTGATCTCAGAGGGATCAAATGGACTCCTATATGTGAAGGTATTTGAAAACTCACATTGCTCTGCATGTGTTAAGAGATTGTTACAAATGCTCCTCTTGTTCTGATGGATTCATGTTCAAGCAGTTCATCCTCCTGGGTCCAGGATGAAACAAACCCAACAGATATCTGTTGAGCTCATACTATGTTCCAGGTAGCCAAAGGGGCTAGTACTCAACAAAATGGGCAAAAACCCCTAATAAACTTGGGAGTGACTCATCAGCATATTTAGTGCCTCCTAAGTGCCCAGTAGTAATATGAGAAGCTGGGCAATATGAAGAAGAATGTGGCATCAGGATTGGAGGAAGACTTATCAACGACCTGTGATATGCAGATGATACAACTTTGCTTGCTGAAAGTGAAGATGACTTGAAGCACTTACTAATGAAGATCAAAGACTATGGTCTGCAGTATGGATTACACTTTAACATAAAGAAAATGAAAATCCTCACAACTGGACCAATAAGCAACATTACGATGAATGGAGAAAAGATTGAAGTTGTCAAAGATTTCATATTTCTTGGATCCACAATCAGCACCCATGGAAGCAGCAGTCAAGAAATTAGAAGACATATGGGACTGGGAAAATCTGCTGCAGAAGACCTCTTTCAAGTGCTGAAGAGCAAAGATGTCTCCTTGAGGACTAAGGTGCGCCTAACCCAAGCCACGGTGTTTCCAGTCGCCTCATCTGCATGTGAGAGCTGGACAATGTGTAAGGAAGACCAAAGAAGAGTTGATGCTTTTGAGTTGTGGTGTGGGTGAAGAATGCTGAAAGTACCATGGACTGCTAAAAGAACGAACAAATCTGTCCTGGAAGAAGTGCAGCCAGAATGCTTCTTGGAAGGGAGAATGGCCAGACTCTGTCTCACCAACTTTGGTCGTGTTGTCAGAAGGGACCATTCCCTGGAGAAGGATGTCATGCTTGATAAAGTGGAGGGTCAGCGAAAGAGGAGAAGGCCCTCAACAAGATGAACTGACACAGTGGCTGTAACAATGGGCTCAGGTACAGCAAGGATCGTGAGGCTGGCACAGGACTGGGCAGCGTTTTGTTCTGTTGTACCTAGAGTCACTGTGAATCAAAGCCGACTTGATAGCACCTAACGACAACAAG